GGCGCCAGTTGCACCCAATTTTTGGAGCTTTCTCAAACCGCAACTGATCGATAATGAGGGGCCTGTAATTATCTGTCGCGTGCTGCAGCAAACAATGTGTCGTGTCATGACTAACAGGCCCCCAGCAACACATTTCAGCAGAAAAATGAGAGATCAAAATTTTTGTGTCGGCACCCCTTCAACTCTTTCGTTACCACACCTACTCAAATCGATCACCGGTGATCGACGCTTTGGACCATCGATTTTAGCATGTTAAATTTGTTTCTCGTGCACCCAGCGCATTCTAGTAGTTAGTCCAGCCACTCAACTTTCCGAATCAATTCAAATTTGCCCGTTTGGGCAACATGGCGAATTTTTAAGACTTTTGCGCGAACCAATGTGCGTGTATTGCTGGAAAAGTGCACTAGGTTAGCGAACTTGAAAAAAGTGCGTGCCCCTCGAGATTATACTGCAGTAACATCGAAGTTCTGTTATGAAAGAAATCTTTGCAAACCAAATATCGAATGAAGGCGTCAGCTTCGCAATTTGATCATGTTTAGCAGTAATAATTGCCAGATAATTATGCCAGCTATTCGATAGACAGCTGTTGCTAGGAGTCGGAGAACATTTATTTTACAAAAGGTATTTCCGATGGTCTGCCGCATGTTTAAAGGGTTGAGATGGCCTTCACAGCCAGTTTCCAGCAGCTTTGGGTTTGCTGGTATTGTTATATTAGACACAGGCTCGCATATCGTGTCACTAGTTGTGCATAGGTGCGCACCAGCGCTACAAAACACATGCGCTGTTCGAAACTGTCTTGCAACACCACCTGAATTGAGTAAGGACGAGCTTAAAGTTCGAGGATAACACCACCTCAGCTTCAAGTTTTAACGGAGACGGTGTTTTGCGTCAGCCTGAGACATCGATAGCCGTCCATGGGTTTGTTTACGGCCTTAAGTTGTCTCCTCCGCCGCAAGTGTGTAGCTGCTGATCTTTGTGCACAATCACAGTCTTATAGCTAGTCTGGTTACATGCGAGGTCCACACTTCGCTGGGGTGCGGTGTGCTGGCGCCGGCTGTAGAGCTTCTCCTATCGACAAGAAGGTTTCGAGAGCACTCCAAACTACAGAGCAGCACGAAACATTTTAGAACTGCATGCGATATTGTTCTTTTTGTAATACGATGTGCAAAATGCCAAGTAATATGCTTGGATGCATATATAGGAATGCCAACCTAAGCGGACTGAGGTGGCTTATGGAAAAAAGTGACTCTAGACGAAATAAATAAGTTCATTAGACATCTGATTTATAGAGGGATTGTTCACATCATGGGCGTCCATCTATATTGAAACAGCTGGAGGCTCTTATAACAAGAAAACGAAAATTTACTGGGAAATATGTACGAGTTCACTTGTGTTTCACGAAAAACCAGGCAATGCTTCACCACATGACTTGAGCAGCGCAGCAGCACCTCGGTTCTGATTTTCTTTGTCTATGTGAATAGAAACTTCTTGTTCAACATTTATTATTTTTTATAATGTTCCTGGTTCATTTTTCTTCAAAATGTATATTCTGAATTTTCTCTTTTTGAATATTTTTGCACATATATGGTTTTCTGTTGCTCTGTTTACCTATTGGCAACTAAAATTGTACGCTTTCCACATTTTTATTCATTCTAAATTATTTGTGTTGCTACATAGCACATAATTTTTTGGAAAGAGCAATTTATTGCGCAAAATTTGGTATGCTGCATTGCGTGCTGGAGTACTTTTTCGAACTGGCAAAACCTATGTTCCCTAGACATGAAAAATAACCATTCTCTCACGGTAACAAAAGGTTGAGTCGGGTGTTAGCTAGGCTACTAACGGCTACAGTACTGTCTGCGTGGGGCGTTTTTCAAAATCCTCATACCTAAGTTGACCCTGGAGTTTGATACAAGGAAATTCAAAAAAAAAAAAAAACTATCCGCCTAGATCGAATACATACTGTATATTCTAGGCACTGAAGCACTGTGCATGTGAGCCAAGGCCAGCGAGACGTGCTCACCACTGTACCGAAGGAAGGCGAGAGAATGTACCGCCACTTGTCAGTCTGTCCGTCTCGGCCCTCATATTTCGCACACTAGGCCTATGCGGCTTGCCTATAGGCGTTACTTGTGTTTGTTACATGGTTGTGTTAGTTGCATAGTTCCCCCGAATTCAGTTAGGAGGTCAATGGCCGTGTCAAAAGCAAAAGAGCACTTGCAAGTGTTTCTGGACTGGTACACAACGAAGTTTCTGTGCTTTGTGGTTGCGCGGAAAGGTGGCACGTGCGGATTTTGTACCATGTGCACCTATAATGTCTTTTATCTTGGGCGGCATGCCCGAGATTAAAATACACATCGCTTCACAGAAGCACCACAACTATGTTTTTGCGGTGGAAGGGCAAGGACACATCGGGAGTTTCTTCCAAAAAAGCTGCGAAGAGAGTGCGATCCACGCAGAATGCATGTATATACATTCTCGAGATTTCTTGTGGAACACAACTTGCTACTACAGTGAAACCTCGTTAAACCGTAGTTGGCCGGAGCTCGGAAAAAGTACATACTAAACGGTAGTACTGCTTAACCTGAAATAGCGTCAGGTCGCTCACTTACCTGTCAAAAAAAGAAACCTTCGGGGAGTGCGATGAAAAAACAAGAAACGTGCAGTAATTTATTAACTTCACGTGACAAAGTCTGTAAACTTCATTTGACGACGCGGCGGCCTAGCAGCAACGACAGCGGCCTCAAACTTGCCTATGCTGTGAGCCAGCTTTTCCGCCAGCCCCCTCTTCTTGGCAAATACCCCCATGACGCTGACGCAATGCGCAGCTTCGGCCACTGTCGGACCTGGATCACCCATGTTGTCGCTTTCCATGTCGTCCTCATCACTATCATTTGGCGACACTTCGACAACCGAGGCAACAATGGCTTCGTCAGACATGTCCGGAGATGTCTGCACATCGCTGTCTGCGTCTCTGAAGTTGGGGAAGGAAATGCCTTACGTAACGACCTGCCGCTCCAGCACTTCAGCTAGCAGAGTTTTGCAAGCTTCATCTACGATGTCCGAAGTCTGGTCGATGTTGTCATTGGCGTCATCTGCGTCGCCCGCACACACACTGAAACTGAAGCCAGCACACTTGAAGCAATTTTGAACTGTCGTTGCTTCAACCTGCCGCCATGAGTATTTGAGCAGGTGAATCGCGCCAAATGGCCGATGGAGAATAATTTGCCACATTCAGTGGCGAGAAGAAATCTGCGCAGCAGATTCTTCTTGTAGAGCTGTTTTACAGCTCGAATGATGCCTTGGTCTAAGGGCTGGGCAATCGCTGTTGTGTTTGGTGGCAGAAACGCCAACTTCACAGCCATTAGGTTGTCAGTTTCGGCATGACGCAAGTACAAAGCAGCACAAGCACACATACACAACACTTGAAAAACGACGCGAGAGCTGTACGGATCAACCAGAGAACACCTATGCATGGCGCCAAAGGAACAAAGAAAGCACATCGTGTTTGCGTGTTTGTGGAAAGCGCCATCGCGTGGACAACACCAAAAGCCTAGCCGGCCGAGTGCTTCTTGTTGCAGAAAAATCCAAGAGATGGCGCTCGCCAACACAGCCGCCATCATCAACACAAACAAGCGAGGCGTGTTTCGATCTCTGGGGCTTGCTGTTCTGTCGGGACGCCCAGTGGGGGACGACATGCCGCGGCGAGTGCGCAACGAAAATTGGAAAAACTACTTATTAACCGATACATACATGATAAGCTGGTACGGCTTATGCGGATACAAAATGCATTATGTTCAATGGCCGCTGAGTCGGGGATTTGACTTCACTACTTTTAAAACGAAACTACTCTCTACGCGGGTACGGTTTAACGAGGTTTCACTGTATAAGCGTATGACCACGTAGGACTGTTGTTTCGGAAAATGTCTACAAAGTGCGAGGAGGTGAAGCAGTAGGGGTGCGGACGTATGAGAACACCTGCCATCGTAGGGGAAATGGCTGCAGATGTCGAAACTACAATGGCGGAGGCTCCGCAACAACGTGCTTTTGCAATCACAGTGGATAGAAAAATGACAGCAGGTTGTAAATGTCTCATTTCAGTCTCGGTAAATCCCGCTATTTAGTGCTGCCACCTTTACAGTAACTCATGCTTGCAACTGCCAACAAGGGGCACACGTAGTGCAGACTAAAGAACTGGGCTGCCCCGCCACGGTGGTCTAGTGGCTAAGGTACTTGGTTGCTGACCCGTAGGTTGCGTGATCAAATCCCGGCTGCGGCGGCTGTATTTTCGATGGAGACGAAAATGCTCTAGGCCCGTTTGCTCAGATTTGGGTGCACATTAAAGAATCCTAGGTGGCCGAAATTTCCGGAGCCCTCCACTACGCCGTCTCTAATAATGTATGATGCTTTTGGGACGTTGAACCTCACATATCAATCAATCAATTAAAGAACTGAGCTGTGTTGTGTAGTACATAACTGTGTGCCTGGGTCTTGCATGCTCTGAAGATGAGTGCATTCAGATTCACCCTTGACATTAGGTTCCCCGAAAAAGTCCACTTCGGCTCTCGTGTTTTCTGGAGAACAGTGTATAAGGTGCATTCACAAAAGTTGCATGTAATTCAGTCGTTTGACAATGGGCACTTGCAGAAGTTCTAATTTATTATAAATCGGATTTCGGGGATTCTTCACACTTAAGGAAGGGTTTCGAAAGAGAATTTTTATAGTTTATTGATGTATTTTGTAAGATGTATATATGTGTATGTGAGTGCAGATTTCTCTGAAAGTAAAGCTTTTTGGCTTACGAAAAATTTATTCTTGTTTTGCACTTGAACCTGGGACGAATGTTTACCAGGGGTATTTGCTATTCTGATTGAACTAACAGGGCCAGCAGCACTTGGCGCTGGTTCCCTCTCTCTCTCTCTCTCTCTCTCTCTCTCTCTCTTTTTTTTTTTTTCCCAGCCTGCTTCGCCTGTTAATAACTTTGACATTCTCCTGTGCAGTTGGAGATGGTGAACGACGACGTAATCGAGGTGTACCAGGAACAGACGGGTGGGCTGCGGATAGGAGCAGCCTCTCTACCACATTCTTGAGTCGTCAAGATTCCTCTTGCGTGCGCGCTCACACATACACACCAACGTTCACCAATCATTATTACCATCAAATAAATCCCTCTCATTTTCAGTGAAGTCTCGAGTATGAAGCGCGAGTGGTTAAGGTAGTGCAACGTTGAGTGCGACGCTGCCCAAGATTTGGCCGAGGCTGCCGCTTGTGTTGGTTTAGTATGGATGGACCAGTAGATGTAAAGTAATCATCGTTAATTTACTTTTTTGGCGAGCACTTACCAATAATCTTCATAATTTTATTGTATGGCTAATCTCAAAATATCCTAGCGTAGGCTCACTTTTGTGGATTCTGCTATGGCCGGTAGACTTTTCCCATATGCCTGTATGTACATGAAGGCAGCCCTTGAACGAGATTTTCTTCAGCAGCGTGTGGAAACCTCCCACGTCCGCCAAGAGATAATTTAGGCCTACTCGATACTGCCTGGAGGTCCACATAATTGCCACCCAGAAAAATGTAAATTGCATTGTAGCATGTTATAGCATTCGTTCATTGTCTCGTATGTTCATCTTAGTCGTCATCACGCTGTGTAGTTTGTGCATGCACCCTCATCTGCACATCCTGGCAGCTGAAATAAAGGGATGACTGCACTGCATTAGCCCAAAATCTCATTTCTTCATAGTTGCAATGTCTCGTGCTTTCGTCACTATCCGCAACGTCTGTACAACACCAAGGGTTGTATTACCTGCAACATGTTCACCATAGATGAGCTAAGTGAACATAACGGATGCATACCGACCAACCGTTCCAACTTTGGGCCAATTATACATTTTACTGGTGTTTTGTTAGATTTCACAAAGACTGAAATCTGTCTCCGAAATATTCTGAATTGTGCCAGGAGGAGGTGTGCGTGTATATTATGCATGGTGTATGCACTGCTTTCCATATTCCATTTTATTCCATTTTCTGGTTTCGAAGTAATGTTTTGCGGCAACAGTATCGCTTCTTCCAAAAGTTTCGGGGAACTACCGAAGTGCCTACTTGAGGATACAGGGTCGATTTCCCACGGGAGCTGTATTTCAGCGAGGATGAAATGCCAAGAACACTCGGGCACTTCTATTTACGTTTACATTAACAACACACTAAAGAAAAACAATGGTTTTAGACTGATTAATTAATTTATGAAAACTGCTGTCATGTTAAGACCAAGCTTGCGAACGCTGACACAAGAGAGCAGCTGAGATGCCACAAACTTTTGTGTCCATGTTTGAATGTCCAGTCTGACCACCTAGCTCAGCTCTGTTATTCTAAGTTTTGTTGTCATTAATTTTTATGTAATAAGTTTATTAATAAAAGAATGATCACTGAAATAACTAAAAATGAACATCAGCGTGGCATCACGGAAGCACAGAAGTGTTTTTCTCATCTTTTGGTTGCATTGCCTCCCTCAAAATTTCCTGAAACTTGGTGTGCTGAGTGTCTAGCCCCTTGGAATGTAATCTTCACTGATAAGCCCTTGCAGATCGGCAAAGCATCAACATCAAGGATGCTGCCATGATTGGTGTGGGTGCAGGTGGTGATGCCACCTGCATTTTATTTTTGCTTTTTCTCACTTGTCAAACACAGCCTCTTGGCAAGAGGGGTGCTTTTTGTATTGGGAAAGGGTATTTTACTAATTCAAGAAATATTTTTTCTGCTTGGTGTCTCTTTAAAGCACTCCCAGGGGCAGAACAAATCTGGTGCCCCTCACCATGGCATGCTTCGTAATTAAATTCTGGTATTGCAATAATGTCTATTATAACTAATTAAATGAAACGATTGCCTTGGTTTTCTCTTGATTCTACAGTTGCAGCAAAAGACTAATTTAATTTCAAGGGGAGATGCTTCTCGAACACTTTTCTTTAAATAACTCTAAAGCAATGAATCTTGAGGTGTTTATGGAACTTGTATGCTGATTTCAAATATATAATTAGTTTTCTTCCAAGTTGCATACTTTCAGCTCTGCGACATGACAAAGTGAAAACCTTAACCCTTTTGACTCCCCTCTTTTCATCTCTAAGCTTCTTTAATTTTTTACCATTCATTGTTCATGTTTCAAATACATTGTGGAATGCAAGTAACTAATTAAAAGTCCATATTTCACCCACCCTAGTGAAGGTTTACATACAATTTTTCATTATATATAAATTATTGATATTTAAACCAAATAATTGTATTTGTCATATTTAGGCAAAATTTTGTGCACTTCCTCAATTTCATGCAGATCCTCAATGTGCCCCTCTGAAAAAGGAGGGGCACATGCAAAAAATGGCAAAATTTGTGTTTTGAGAAAAACGAGTTTTAAAAATAAATTGTGTTTTTATTTATAAAAGATGTCATTAAATGCGATGAAATTTGTGCACACCAAGAAGAACAATCCTTGTAGTGGCCACTGCCATTAAAATACGCCAACATCATGAGTTTGTCCCTCTCAGCTTTTTCGAGCTGACTCCTCACAGAGAGGGCCATGAAATGCTCACCAAACTTCTTCCGCTCCATCTGGCCGAACCTTGTGCTGACTGCGAGCTAGGAAGAAGGACTGCGAAATCTAAAACTAAGTCCAGTGTCGAGAGACACAACAGTGCCGATGCCATTTTGCAGCCATGTGTGTGTCACATACCGTCGTACATAATGGCAATGTTGTCTCCGCTAAGTTTCTTCAACCTTGCAAGATTGGCGCCTACGTCATTCATTGCCGCATCACGAACTTTCTGACTGATGGCTGTGAATGACTTTTGATGCATTGGCTTTTGCAAGCCAACTGCCGCAAATCAGACCAGCTGCTCGAAGCCTATTCTAAAGAGCGCATCTCCACAATGGCTTTCAAGCACAAGGAGTGGTTTTTTTCATTTGTAACAAAGATAAAATGCACGAGAAAAGCGTTCAGCTGCGCTGCTCATCAAGACATGGACCCCGCAAGTAGGCTTCACAGCACATACAGGTGCGCAGCGGCCAATGGCGGTCCCTGATCTGTACCGCATGATAAGCGAGTCCCAGTGCTCTAAATACGCACAAAAGTGTGCTTTTTTTATTATTTCTTGTGCCGCATCAGCGAGGAATACTGGCGTTATTTGAACAGTGAGGCTCGACTCTGCCCCATGCGATTGACAATGGCGAGCGGCGGCATATTATCGGCGGCAAGGTGCTTGAAGACTGCCTACTTTAGGTCTTTTTTAACAGGCACCTTGTGCTCTTTAGATGCAATTTTAAAGCATTTCCAATTAAGTCCCAACATGCATTTTTTTTTTCAGGAAAGTAGAGGTACTAATCTTATCAAAACAGGCGAAAATAAAAAAAATCAGTCATTTTGAAGAAAACTTGCCTTTTTCGACCCGCATCTCCCCTTAAGAGCACCACAAATAATTACGCCACCTATTAAAAAAATGTATTCAAAATGCACATCAAGTGCAGTAGAGCTTAGAACCTTATAAACTTAGCTCATTCCAATAAATAAAAAAAGTGAACCACGATTCCAGTGTTAAGACTAAAGGGGCCCTTGCAACAGTATTTGAACGTGGCCGAGATCTGTTGCCAAACTGGTTGAGGGTTCCTGCAGACGTGCAAACCAACCACTACACGGTATGTGAAGTGAACTTTATTGCCACATGTTGCACAGATTTGAAGATTTCATACATAAAAAAAAATGGCACATTCCTTTGTAGTGTGTGTCGCAGACTCGGCGGCAAGCGGGCCCAAAAAATAATGGCCACTTTCGTCGTCGATCTCTGTGCCCAGTTCTGTAGTTGACAGCTGTCGTTGTGCTGATGATGGCATGTAAAGCAGCAGCAGCAGCCAGTTCACACGCAGACTCAATCCCTCAAGGCACATTGATGCAGATGGCATGTAACCCCCTCGACACAGTCCCTCTCGGCGAAGCTTCCAGCTCACTCATTGCGACCAAAGCTGAAACAAAGTGTTAGCCTCGTGTGAGAACTCTGCTCATGTTTGACAGCTTCGAAACAATGTTGCAGCACGAGATCTCCAAGGCAACAGAGTTTTACAATACAGTTATCCTGTGACAACTAGGAAAGTTTTTGCTGGGCTTTTGTCACACACATACAACTGGCTCTTGAAATGGAGACCATTTCCCTTGAAAACTCTGTAGAGAAAAGGGCGAGCTGCCGTCCCCATGGCGAAGCCCACCGTCGACCTCCTCTTTATTCGAATATACCCCAACTCTGTCCACACGTCCTGCCTTGGCCCCACTGCCCTTCATCTTTATGTCAACGCCACACACAATTTCCAACATCCTCCGCCCCGACAAAAAGACTTAGCTTTCCCTAAAGTTCTTGAGCAAGCTGTATCACCCTTCTACATATTTGACAACATCCTCTGCACCTCACAAGGGTGTGTGACGGGGAACACGTACTACAGAGATTACAAGTGTCAGTACAAGTTCCAAGACGCTGCTTGAGGGCTCATCCAAAAATCTCCTCAAACTTGATTTTTCATCGATGCTTTCCACACTTGTTCCAGGCTCTTGCTGTGGAATTTGTTGACTTTGCTGAGCTTGCGCTGTCTCTCAGGTGTCTTCCTCGGGGTGAAAATTTGCAATGAAGGCTGTTAAATGAAGATCTTGGGCAGCCTTTCCTAAGGTACCTTTTCCTTAGTTTTCTCTTCTTGACTGCATTTACCTACGAGCACTTGCCTTTTTCCTCCGCCTTGGCTTGGGTTGCATTATTCGCTGCTGTGATTCTGTCTTGGCATTGGGCATCGGCAGTAATGCAGCCCGCACGATCCGCTTTTTTCTATTCCTTGGTGTCTGCAGTTTTCTCGAAGAGCTACATTCATGAGCTTTATAGGCAGTAGGCTTCTGCGTCTTCACGCCCTTTCTATTTCTTTCTTGTATTTCTTCTCGCTTGTTACTGTGGTGGAGACTTGATTCCTCCCGTAACATGTAAGCACGGAATTGAGGACTGCCTCATAGTGGACATTGCCAACCTGGGTGAGTACTCATCCTTGGTATTTGGTGCAAGGTATCCTGAATTTCCAATGGCATTCCGACATTCGATTGTAGTAGCCTACCCGAGTTGCCACTTTCTTGTTAACTTGACGGGTATTGGACGTTGACGAGGGCTATGAAGGCATCGTGTGTAGAAGTTCATTAGTGGTCTTTCTTGTTATATTCTCTGCAGTGGGAACGTTAGTTGGTCTGCTTCCAACACATTCTTCTATCTGTCGTGGGGTTGAGCCGTTGACCTTTTGTGTGACAATATCGCAATTGAGAAAGCATTGGCTACACGGTTGCACAACAGGTGAAGAGAGCACTTCCGCTTGCACCTCTGTTCTGATCCTTTGCTTTAGGGTCTCTCTGCGAGCCTGCCGAGCCGTTAACGCATCTTCAATTCTATGCTCAGCTTTTACTTTTTCCAGAATAATCTTGCGCACATAAACGTCGACTTTCCCCATTTCTGCTTCTAAGTGGCCGATGTCAACCGTGTCTTCTATGTCTTTATCAATTCCTTTGAGAAGCTAGAACTTGTCAAAGCTTGGTGAATGTTCCGCAACCCTCTTACTTGAGGGCGTTCCAGATGCAGGAGACTTTCGATGCTGGCAATGGCTTCCATGACCATCTTTTGTACTGCGCTTTTCGATTGGGGCCTTCATGATCCAGTCCAGTGTCGGGA